ACCAATTGTTGATCACATTACACCTTTGCAGAAAATTTTATGATTAAGCCTAATAAAAGTTAATATAAATTAAATATCAACTGCACACGTGGTGTACTGATCTACTGATGTTCAAAAATGAGAATCAGAATGGGCAAGGAAAATAATTTAAGTGACGTTGCTCACTGACAATGTGGCCAGATACAGCATTAAAGTGGAGTCAATGAATCTTAACTATATATATTCAGTACCTGTAAGTATTTGAGTTAAAGTGTAGAAAGGGGTGATCTTAATGCTTAGATTTATTTATTTCATCCAAAAAATCATACATTTTTAGCTTAGTTCAAAAAACGAATCCAACAAATCCACCCAGTGAAATTGTGACTTAGTCATAACAAACATTATCACTGATGTTACTGTAGTTACCTGTCTCTGTAGCTTTCCAACATAAGATGAATGTGAACTGTCCTTTAGACTCATAGCCATGCATGACACTCAACTGTGATTAAAAATATTTTAATAGTAAATATTAAGCAACATTAAAAACTTTGCCAAGTACTTTTGCAATAAAGGTGAGTGTTTTATTAAGCAAAAATGTGGCATCCAACTGATTTAATCAGCCTGTTGTCACAGCAGAACCAGGAACCATCGCAGAGATCCCCTCAGCGGGTCCCTACCAACCCATAGTAGAAAATCATTAATTGACTCACAAGAGACGCTCCGAAAATTAATGTTTAAATTCAAAAACACATGTGATATGCTGAAAAGCAAATAGTTTAGTTTCTTTTTGTTCTGCACTTCCTTTATACCTTACAGTGAGCAGCGGTTTATCCAGCTTGTACTTGAACAAGCTGTACAGTACATTTTCAGATCAGGTTTGGTGTGCATGTCTATAAATTGATATAGCTCGTGTGCATGCATTTAGCTACAGATGCAAGCCATGTGGTTCTTAGCATATGTGAAGTTCGAATACTAACAAAAGAACATGTCTGTTATTTAGATGTTGAACTTAACTTAAAAGTGTATGAATGCTGTTACAAGAAAAGAGCTGCACTGACTTTCAAAAACACTCACTGTGGTTAACTTCTAATCTTAAAGTGTTTTGAAACTGTTTTTTTCTGAAACAGACCCACTAAGCTTGTGGTCAGCAGTCAAATATACCCGTGAAGCACGACTCTGTGCATGTCTGTAGCTGAAATATGGTTGATTAAAAAAATGGTGTCTTGTTTCTACTCAATAAAGCCAAAGACTTTCTATATTTGTTTGGTCAGACTGTGTGAAATCAGATGCCAGGAGCTCAGTGGGTGTTAGTGATGCTATGATAATGAAGGAAGTGAGGTGGTGCACAAATAGTGCTTATTTCTTGTGAAGAATATCAAATCTGATTTTCAACTTTTTAACCCAGATACCATCCAGAAACTCAACCTGATCAGGAGATACTCCCTGATCTAAATCCTATTCTAGGCCCAAAACTAACAAAAAAGGAGAACTGCAATGTGTGTGGATTCTCTCCCACTGCACTTTCATTCATAAATGATCAAAAGTAGAAATGTTAAGTATTAATCCCTGACAACTATTGCTTTTGATAAAGTACACATTTATACAACATAAAGCTTTTTTACTTACATGTATATGGTATTGATATATTCTGGCTGAGTACACACAGACCTCCACAATGCTAAAGCTTTTTTTCTTTAGATGGTTTGGTGGTGACGGGTTATCTGGCAAAGATCACAGATCAGCTCTGCTACCATCTAATGGCTATTGTTGGTATTGCTATGCAAGGTGACCAGAAAAATAAAAAGTGCCACAGTATCTAGAGACTTACTAAATCTGGATAAAAAACTATGAAACTGTGAGTGTGTGTCTGTGGGCGTGTGGCAAAGTTTCTATTGATGCTTTCATTTTCCAGCTCAAACTGTCCTCTACAGCAAAGATAAGCCTTGAGGTATCATTGAAAGGAAAAAAAAAACAATGTGCACTGTCCCCTTTTAGGATTTGGTAACAGGGCAGAGGTCATATCATACTAAATGCTTTTAATATATATTTAGATGAGTAATGCATGTTACTCGTTTTACTAATGCTTGAAAACACTATTAAAACTACAAGTCAAAAAAATTGGACATGCTTTCTCATATAATGGTTTTTCTTTATTTGTAATACTTTCAACATTGTAGATACAAAATAAAGACACTAAATATATTATTAATATATAAATATATTAGGCTAGATTTATGGAATTATGTAGCAAAAAATATATATACATAACTCTAAATATGTCATATAATATAGATTCCTCAAAGTAGTCCCTGTTTGCTTTGTTGACTGCATTGCAAACCTTTGGCCTTCTCTCAATGAGCTTCATAACGTAGTCACCTGAAATACTTTTCACTTCACAAGTGTGTCAGGGATCATTTGTGGAATTTCTTGCTTTGGTTGGGACCATAAGTTGTGTTGTGCAGAAGTCAGGTTGGTAAACAGCTGACAGCCTTATTTGACAGCAGGTAGAATTCATATCATGGCACGAACCAATCAGCTAAGTAAAGAGAAATGACAGTCCATCATTACTTTAAGAACTGAAGGTCAGTCAGTGTGGAAAACTTCAAATGTGACCCCAAGTCGCACTTGACAGGAAGACCAAGAGTGACCTCTGCTGCTGGGGATAAATTCATCCGAGTGGCCAGCTTAAAGTTAATAGCATCTCGGATTAGAGCCCAGATAAATGCCACACAGAGTTCCAGTAGCAGACACATCTCCACATCAGCTGTGGAGAGGATACTGTGTTAATCAGACCTTTATGGTCAAATTGCTGCTAAAAAACACTACTAAGGAAAGCAACAAGCAGAAGAGATTTGTTTGGGCTAAGAAATCTGCACTTTGGTCTGATGTGTCCAAATTTGAGAAGTTTGGTTTTACCTGTCTTTTTAAATGGACTGGTTACAGGACATTTCTACTCTACATGACCTTTCAAAGCACGTTTTCCGTTGAGAGTCACTAACACACTGCATCACAGTATGTTACCGCATCTGCTCCAGGGCAGATAGAGCAAGGCTTCAGAGTGTAGTCAAGGTAGCACAGGAGATCATCAGCTGCCCTCTCCCCTCCCTGATGGACATTTATTCCTCCTGTTGCCTCAGCAGAGCAGCAAACATCAATGACAGCTCCCACCCTGGTTTTGACCTGTTCAACCTGCTTCCCTCAGGGAAGTGCTGCAGGTGTATCAGCACAAAGCACAACGGCCCACAGACTCACAAATAAATTATTTTCAAAGGCCATAACCACCTTGAACTCACACATGCACTGACGACTAGTGATGGGAATAACGGCATTACATATAACGGCGTTACTTTTTCAGTAACGAGTAATCTAACTAAATACTATTCCTATCGTTACAAACGCCGTTACAGTTACTAACAAAAAAATGCGGTCCGTTACTATTTTTCAACAAACAGACGGTTGAAGCTGGGTTCAGCTTACCGCATCTTATATCAGTTGCATGGAGGTAGCTGACTACGTAAGTAATCTGGACGCTACATCTTTAAGCAGCTGCGTGTGCTCCCGCGGACGGTAATCATGATCACTGTCTAGCGCAACACCTGGAGCTAAGGGGGCAAAACAATCGCATGAGTGCTGCTGTTTGACTGAGGAAGAATGAAGTAGTCGTGGTAATCCAGTCACATGACCACTTAAAGACAAAGCAACAAGGTGATAGATACCAGTTTATAAATTGTGTTGATAGGCCACGTAAAACCAGAGTCATGATAAACAATATATACGTGGCGTTTTTTCCTCAATAGTTTCGTCACGTTTACTGTCTGACAGCGCAGCGAGACCTCTCTGCTTATGAGAGAGAGAAAGAAAAACAGGGCAAGTTTTAGGAGTGAGGGCGAGAGAGAGAGAAAGACAGCAGAAAATAAGGGAGAGCGAGTTTTGAGATGTGAGAGATTTGTGACGTTTAGCATGTTTGGAGTGTGTAGTTAGTGTGTAGTGTTGTGGATAGTTTTGAGTTGTGTGTCAGAACAATGAGGCGACTGCTGTCTCCAAGTATAAAACAGGAGTGGTACACCTGCGGCTGTCAGATCTGCAGGTGTCAGGCTGTGATGTTCTCCTTTAAAGTGGACAGAAATTATGTTTTTGGAGTGGCACAAATAATTTGTGTGGCATCTTATTGAATGCAGAACAGCTGATTGTTCTGTAAATAGTTTGAAATGGTTATTTTAAAAAATCAAGGTAAAAGGTAAATGGGTGCAAATAACTGTGTTGTTTGCAAAACTTGTGCAT